GCCACTAAAAGTCTCTGCTTAGTTAGCTTCATGGTCAGCTAATTATTAGCAAAAACTTATTTCTGTTCCCGGTATTTTTATTGGGAATATGTTACAGTTATTTATTAACTTGGAATAAGTGGAATATTTATGATGTTGAGTCATTGAGTCATTTTGTCCAAGAATGTGTATACGCATATATATCTACGTGTGTGTGTGTATGTCTCACATATATATGAGAGTTTACAGACATGTTTTTAAATTGCTATACAACTCATGATACTTTTTTTAAACAAATTTTATTTACAAGCTCTGTTCACTGAAAGGGCCTACACCCCAATAATGATGTACAAACTGTTGGTTTCTAAATACTAGTCCCCATTTAAAGGAATTAGAGCATCTTGGAGCTGATTCCAGCTCAGTAGGGAAAGTGCACAATGAGCCTGCACACACCTTGTGTTAGAAAGCAAACAACTTGTGTTAGAAAGCAAAGAAGTGCTCAAAGACTAATGGTGACTTCTTAAAAAGAAGCTGGCTTGAAGGGACCCCTACTATCCAAATTGTAGATAATTTGAGCATCCAAAAAATAATGGCAGAGGGTTGAAAAATTACCTATTGACTACAATGTTTACTACACTAAAAACCCAGACTTCACCACTATGTCATACATGCTGTAAGAAATCTGCACTTGTGCTTCTTAAATATATCTTTTAAAAAATAATGACAGAGGCCAGGCATGGTGGCTCATGCCTGTAATCCCAGCACTTTGGGAGGCTGAGGTGGGTGGATCGTGAAGTCAAGAGATCAAGACCATCCTGGCCAACATGGTGAAACCCCGTCTCTACTAAAAATAAAAAATTAGCTGGGTGTGGTGGCACATGCCTGTAGCTACTCGGGAAGCTGAGGCAGAAGAATTACTTGAACCTGGGAGGCAGACATTGCAGTGAGCCGAGATCGCACCACTGCACTCCAGCCTGGTGACAGTGCGAGACTCCATCTCAAAACATAATAATAATGACAGAAATATCAACATAAAATTCATGACCCCATAGTAATGCTCAAGATTATAAGAGAAAAATAATGGAAAGAAGAAAGAGAGACAGAGGAGGGAGAAAGAGAGGAGAAATGAATTTAGGAAGGAAGGAAGAAAAGGAGGGATGAAGGAGAAAAAAGGATGCTCTTTTCCAGAAAAATACCACCTTATATAAAACGAATCATAGAATTAGAAATTTATGATTTTGTAATCCTCCTTGTAATAATTGATCCTGGTAAAGATCATCAATGGATATTAAAACTAGTAGGTGAAAGCCAGGCATGGTGGCTCATGCCTGTAATCCCAGCACTTTGAGAGGCCAAGGTAGGCGGATCATGAGGTCAGGAGTTTGAGACCAGCCTGACCAACATGGTGAAACCCCATCTCTACTAAAATACAAAAATTAGCTGGGCGTAGTGGTACATGCCTGTAGTCCCAGCTATTCAGGAGGCTGAGGCAGAAGAATCGCTTGAACCCGGGAGGTGGAAGTTGCAGTGAGCCGAGAATATACCACTGCACTCCAGCCTGGGCGACAGAGGAAGACTCCATCTCAAAAAAAGAAAAACTAGTAGGTGAAAGCTTATTGGGAAATGGGATAGTCTCAAGATTTCAAATCACCACCCACAGAAAGGAAACCATACCTTTGTACTGGAGGGATCTCCAGTGGCAGTCACCACCTTCAGCAGATGATCAAATTTTGCATCACTAATAGTGCTACAACCTGATATTATGTGCAAGTAAATTTTTAACAGGCTTTCCAAAAACAACAACAACAAAAAAAACTGAGAGGGACCAAATTTGTAACATGAGCCAAATTCTATGGTGTTAATACTCCCATCATGGCCAATTTCAAGTTACAAATATGATATCACTATTCAGAGTTGTCAAGAGATGCTAACAATCAGCTTACCTATGAGCCTGCTCCAGTGTAACAATGTATGTATGTAATATATATACAAAAATAAAAGTGCAGAAATAAATATATGTATGTATTCATTTATTGAGACGGAATCTCGCTCTGTCACCCAGGCTGGAGTACAGTGGTGCATTCTCAGCTCATTGCAACATCTACCTCCTCGGTTCAAGCGATTCTTGACTAGCTGGGATTACAGGCACACACCACATGCCAGCTAATTTCTTGGATTTTTAGTAGAGACAAGGTTTTGCCATGTTGACCAGGCTGATCTCGAACTCCTGACCTCAAGTGATATGCTCGCCTTGGCCTCCCAAAGTGCTGAGATTACAGGCATGAGCCACCATGCCTGGCCCTTATTTATTTCTTTATTTATTTGAAATGGTCTCACTCTGTCAACTAGGGTAGAGGGCTGTGGTGCAATCATAGCTCTCTATAAGCTTGAACTAGGGGCTCAAGCAATACTTCCACCTCAGCTTCTCGAGTAGCTGCGACTTCAGGTGCACATCATATGTGACTAATCTTTTCTTTTTTTTTTGGTAGAGATGCGGGTTTCATACTTTGGGAGGCCAAGGTGGGAGGACTGCTTGAGCCCAGGAGTTTAAGACCAGCCCTGGCAACACAGTGAGACCACATCTCTACAAAAAATTTAAAAATTTTTGTAGCAGTAAGGTGATATCGCATTGTGGTTTTGATTTGCATTTCCCTGATCATTAGCAATGTTGTTTTTTTCATATGTTTGTTGTCCATCTATGTTTGTATATCTTCTTTTGAGAATTGTCTGTTCATGTGCTTAGCCCACTTTTCGATAAGATTGTTTTTTTCTTGCTAATTTGTTGGAGTTCATTGTAGATTCTTGATATTAGTCCTTTGTCAGAAGCATAGATTGTGAAGATTTTCTCCCACTCTGTGGGTTGTCTGTTTACTTTGCTGACTGGTTCCTTTTGCTATGCAAAAGCTATTTAGTTTAATTAAATCCCAGCTATTTATTTTTGTTTAAATTGCATTCGTTTTTGGGTTCTTGGTCATGAAATCCTTGCCTAAGCCAATGTCTAGAAGGGTTTTTCTGATGTTATCTTCTAGAATTTTTATAGTTTGAAGTCTTAGATTTAAGTCCTTGATCCATCTTGAGTTGATTTTTTTATAAGGTGAGAGATGACAATTCAGTTTCATTCTTCTATATGTGGCTTGCCAATTATCCTAGCACCATTTGTTAAAGAGCGTGTTTCTTCCCCACGTTATGCTTTTGTTTGCAAGAATGGCCATAATTTAAACATCAAAATATAATGGATGTTGGTGTGGATATGATGAACAGGGAACACTTCTACACTGCTGGTGGGAATGTAAACTAGTACAACCACTATGGTAAACAGTGTGGAGATTCCTTAAAGAACTAAAAGTAAAACTACCATTTGATCCAGCAAAACCACTACTGGGTATCTACCCAGAGGAAAAAAATTCATTATATTAAAAAAAAAAGTTGCACACACATGTATATAGCAGCACAATTTGCAGTTGCAAACATGTGGAAACAACTGAAATGCCCATAAATCAACAAGTGGATAAAGAAACTGTGAGATACAAACACACACACACACACACACACACAACACGATGGAATACTACTCAGCCATTCATTAAAAAGGAATGAATTAATGGCATTTGCAGCAACCTGGATGGGATTGGAGAGTATTATTCTTTTTTTTTTTTTTCTTTGAGAGAGTCTCGCTCTGTCACCCAGGCTGGAGGGAAATGGCGCAATCTCAGCTCACTGCAACCTCCACCTCCTGGGTTCAAGTGATTCTCCCTGCCTCAGCTTCCCGAGTAGCTACAATTACAGGCACCCGCCACTACACCCAGCTAAATTTTGTATTTTTAGTAGAGATGGGGTTTTGCCATGTTAGCCAGGTTGGTCTCAAACTCCTGACCTCAGGTGATCTGCCCGCCTTGGCCTCCCGAAGTGCTGGGATTATAGGCGTGAGCCACCGTGCCTGGTCTGGAGACTATTATTCAAACTGAAGTAACTCAGGAATGGAAAACCAAACATCATGTGTTCTTACTCATAAGTGGGAGCTAAACTATGAGGATGCAAAGGCAAAAGAATGGTACAGTAGACTTTGGGGACTCGGGAAAGGCGGAAGGGGGTAAGGGATTAAAGACTACAAATCAGGTCCACTGTATACTGCTTGGGGGATGGGTCCACCAAAATTCTGCAAATCACCCCTAAAAACTTACTCTTGTAACCAAATACCACCTGTTCCCCAAAAGCCTATGGAAATAAAAAAAATTAGTAAAATTAATAAAAATTAAAATAAATTAAAATTAAAAAATTATCCAGGTGTGGTCCTAACTACTCAGTCAACTGAATTGGGAGGATGGCTTGAGCCTGGGATGTTGAGGCTGAAGTGAGCCATGGTCATGCTGTTATGCTCCAGCCTACACAACAGAGAAAGACCCTGTGTCCAAAAAAAAAAGACCTGGACTTTACAAAAAATTCAAAACAATAACAAAAAAGGGCAAATGTGCCTTTTCTATATTAAAATATACTAAAGAGGTAAACAATCAAATACAATGCATACATAAATCTTGATTAACTTCTAGATCTAAACTAAAAAACATATAAAAACATTTGGGGGTGACATTTTGGGAAATGAAAATATTGACCATACATTTGATGACAGTGAATTAGTGTTAATATTATTGTGTGTGATATCCTGTTTCTTACATAGCAGAATGTTCTCGTATTCTTAGGATACATGCTGAAATATTTAGGGGTGAAGCCCAGTGATGGCTATACATCAACAGAACAAAATAACAACCACATATGGAAGGTGAGGAAGGAGAGGGAGAGAGAGAAAAGGCAAATGTAACTAAATGTTAAGCACTGGTGAATCCAGGTGAAGTGTATGTATATAGGTATTTGTTGTATTATTCTTTCAATATAGCTGTAAGTTTGCAAATTTTTAAGGTAAAAATATTGACAGAAAACTTGATCCCTAGCTTTAGAGATATCTTACTACTTCTTAGGCTATTGATTTTTAAATTTGTCTTTTATTACTTTCTATTTTAATGCAGATTCCTGTATCAAGCCTAAGGGACACAGTCCTGGAAGTAGCAGTGTTTGATCAACATAGGAGAAAGTTTGATAATTTCAGTTCACTAATGCTAGAATGGAAATCCTCTAGTGAAACACTAGCCCATTTCGAAGATGATAAATCAGTGGAAATGGTAGCAAAAGATGATGGCAGTGGGCAGACCTGGTTACATGGTATTGTGAAAATTTACAAGTCTCTTTGTATACCTGAGTGGTTCTACAATTATTTTCTTCCTTCCTTCTTCTTTCTCTTTTTCTCTCTCTTTCTTTCTTTTCTTTTTTTCTTTTTTTTTTTTTTTTGACAGAGTCTCGCTCCGTTGCCCAGGCTGGAGTGCAACGGCAGTATCTCGGCTTACTGCAACCTCCACCTTTGGGGTTCAAGCAATTCTTGTGCCTCAGCCTCCTGAGTAGCTAGGACTACAGGCACATGCCACCATGCTCAGCTAATTTTTTGTATTTTAGTAGAGACGGGATTTCACCATGTTGCCCAAGATGATCTCGAGCTCCTGAGCTCAAGCAATCCACCTGCCCCAGCCTCCCAAAGTGCTAGGATTACAGGCATGAGCTGCCACATCCAGCCCTAAATATTTTCTTATGGGAAAGAGTTTTATTTTGGATTTTATCACATATCACCTTTTATCTTTGACCCTTGTATTTTTTAGAAAACATAAAGGCAGTTTTCCTTGTTTACAAAGCTAGGGCTGAGGAGCCAACATTAAATTAATTTTTAAATGTATTTATTTTTCTTTAGACACGGGGTATTTTTCTGTCTCCCGGGCTGGAGAGCAGTGGAGCAGATCATAGATTAATACAACCTCAAACTCTTGGACTAAAGTGATCCTCCTGCCTCAGCTTCTCTAGTAGCTAGAACTGTAGGTGCATGCCACCAAGACAAGCTAATATTTTAATTTTTTGTAGAGACAGGTTCTCACTATGTTGCCCAAGCTGGTTTCAAACTCCCGGCCTGAAGTGATCCTCAACCTCAGCCTCCCAAAGTGCTAGGATTACAGGCCTGAGCCATTGCACCTGACTTCTCTTCTCCTCTCCCCTCCCCTT